ATTGCTTCCCTTTCCCCTTTCTAATCCTCTCACCATTTGACCTGGGAGGCAGAACTAATGATAAAATGTCATAACACATAGGCTATTTGAAGCCTCAGCTGTCTAGCCTGAAGACAACGTAGGGAGATCCTCAGAGCTGAAAGTACTGAAGAAATTGTTCAGCTGAGGACTGGCGAAATCAACCCCATAATGTTGTGTAGTAACTGCTGGGCTCATCCTCAGTCTTCACGCATATTTCTAAACTAAAGCAGTATACGTCAGCTTTCAGAACTGATCTAGACCGTAGAGCCCTGCCCAGGTCCTGTGCTTGCCGCTGGGTGGCATGCAAGCAGGACAGATCTAAGTAGCAATTACCAAGGCTTTGAAAACAGACTTGACATTGACCCACAAGCCCCAGAAAGGCAGCTGGAATTTGCAGCCTGAACCCAGCTGAACTGTGACTTGGACCCAATTCAGCAATTCCCTAGCAAGTACTGTTTTCAGCAGTGTGATTTTTTCTCCCCACCAACAGCTCTTTCTCTGTCGGATGTACATTTCCAAAGATACCATCAGCCATTACCAACCCCCAACTTTGCTTCCCCACCCTTCCATCTATACCATGTGCTTACATTTCACTCCCAGCTCCATTGTCTTCTCAAGTGTTGACTATATATTCAGTGCAGAAAGATACTGGGGAAGTCTGTGCATGTGTACGTGTATGTGCGTGTGTGTGTATGTGTGTGTGTGTATGTGTGTGACATAGAGGCCTCTGCATGCTTTGTAAAACAGAAATCATGCATTAAATAAATGAATTTTACAAGCTTCTTTTTACCAAAACACAAAAATGATGGTATATTATGTTTTTCTATCTTTTGGGGGGAAAAGAGTCCCCCTCTTGACGTAATCTGGGTGACTGAATACACAAATGAAAGAATTCTAGAAAGATATCATTTCAGATTTTAGTGTTTCATGCTTACCTATTTTGTGCATTCCGAGGTTTTGTAATAAAAGTTCTCCCCAGGGTTGCTACCAAATTTTATACTAGAATTCCAGGAGTTGAGTTTACTTAAGATTATTTGTGTCTATGGTAGGGGAGGATATTATTTTCTTTCTTTCTTCCTTTCTTCTCTTCTTTCTTCTTAAGTTGCATGGGCCTCTTTGTAAGACTGCTTATAACATGGCCCCTTGCTTTCCTCAACATGAATAACCTGAGAGAGAGAGAGAGAGAGAGAGAGAGAGAGAGAGACTCTTGGAGAGGGTCCCCACAGTGGAAGACACATGTTTTTCGCTGTGTTGTAATGTAATGTAGGAAGTTACATCCCATAACTTCAGTCACATCCTATCCTCCCCATTAGAAGGGAGTCACTAAACCCCTTCTTGGATCCAGACATGAATGACAGGGTCATTAGGGATGGGTCACCTTGGAGACTGCCTATCACAAGGATCATGTGACTCCCAGCCCAGGGGAGGGTTCTGATTGGCTCTGCTGGGGTTCAGTGCCCATCCCTGAAGCAATCAACTATGTCCATGGGGTCAGAGTCACATTCTAAAATATACATGCTGAAACCCAACTCTGTGACCATAGCGGAAATTTTTCAGAGAAAGGCGATTAAATTCCTTCTAATTACTGGAGGCCCACACTGGCTCCTACACACGCTTGCACACGCATACATGCATATGCACACTCCCATGCTCATAGGCAAGCACACGTTACTACGTGGTCACATCCCAAGCACCCTGCCTTTTATTTGTTGTACATTTCAGGATGCGGAAAACATTTTTGTTTGAATAAAACTTTAAAAGCAAAGTTTGAGCTGGCTCTGTGATGCAGCAGTTTAACGTGCTGCTCAAGAAAGGCTACATTCCACATGGCAACCACGGCCCACATGCCCAGCCCAGTCAGCCTGAAACACACCACTATTCGTGAGAATGCTCAGGATTCAGTGACTGGAGGGCTGGAGGAAGGGGATCATGGTGTGACCAGACACTGTGGAGGTGCCCCTCTGTCTCACTCACTCTCACATAAGCACGCACACACTCTCTCATAAATAAAGGGGGAAAACTAAAAACTGGAGGACTTTCATTTGAAGAGACTTGAGGTTTAGGTCGAGACAAGACTAGTGCAGGATCATAGAGCAGGGACTGGCAGGGTAGGGCAGAAGTCTGCGTGGGAGGAAGATTAGTGTTTTATGATGATGCCTGAGGCCTTAAGGGTAGTTCTCAAGGAGGAGGACAGTTGAAGTATCACCTGGGAGTGGGGCTCACAAGGAAGAACGGGCAGAGAGAGAAGAGCTGACAAAATGAGAACAAAGAACGTGGAAAAGGGAAAGAACAGTGTAACGATGCCAAGGTTAGGAGTCTGGATTGAGGGAAGGCCTGTCTGGAATGATCCTGCATTGCTCGGTTGAAGGGATAGAATGCAAGGAGACCTGGAGAGAGTGGAGGGAGCCAGAGTATGGAAGGGTGAGGCTGGGAGTATGTGGGAAAAGGGATGGGCCCTTTTACATCAAAAAGAAAAGGAGAAAGGAATCTGGAAGGTCTCTGAAAGATGTGTCTGGGTAGGCCTAGGAAGTTGAGGAACCTCAGAGTGAAGGGGGACCCAGCCAGCTAGTTAAGAGATAGCTGTGTCCTGGAGAAACTGAGGAAAACGGGGTGGATTTGGAGACTTTAGAGCATGAGGAGAATTGGCCCAGCTACTGTGGGGAGGCAACCAGACATCAAGGACCAGGAAATAAAAGACCGGTGACGGCTGGTGAGGGCTTATGCTGGGACTTTGCAGGAGGCTGTCTCCTCTTCCTTTCTCAGACCTTCTTTGACTGTCCTAAAAGCCACAAGTCAGTACAGACCCCTGCCCAGCTCTGTGGGAGATCGGGGTACCTGGGTGTGTGGGGAAGGTGCATGTGTTTAGACTTGGGAAGACTGAGAAATCACTCAATAGTGTCCAAACGAAGAGTATTGTGAAGCCAGAGACGGCTTGTTCTCACCCTTCACCAAAGAAAAAGCACATCCTATGGTCTATGTAGAGAGCAAGGAGAAATGGAATTTGGCAGAGCAGAAAAATATTGCCCAGCCAGATTTGGAGAAACAAATTCCCCATCATAACTTTGTTCTATAGGACAGTAATTAGATTATGGGATGGCACATTTAATTCTTCAATTGGTTATTTCTGTTATTGCTTAAGAAGAAATGTGCTTAAGCGGTAGCCCGAGCTCTTACGCAAATGTCAAGGCACACATTTGTGGGGCTGTTAAAAAGCCATCCAGCGTAATGGTCTTTAGCAAGGGCTTCGGAGCCACACAGTCTGGGCTGGAATTGTGCCTCTTCATAGTTGCATGAACCTGGGTGAGTCACCGTCCTTAGATGTCTCATTTTCTGCATCTCCAAAATTATGGTAATGACAGAATCTCTCTCATGGTATTATTGTGAAAAGCCCTTAGCACAAAATTTGTAACAGCATTCCACAAACATTACTTATTAGTTGTTATTATTTTTAAAAATCAGATTTCTTAGTGAATCATATAAAAGCATCGACTTTCAAAATGGAGGATTCTGAGACCCCCAAGTTTCAAACTACACTCCTTCAGTACCCAAGAGCCAGAGAGATGCTTCTGGGGCTGCCACCCAGGCTACATGTCATGATTTCATCATAACCTAACATGTCCCTCCAAAAGGACCTTTCTTAACAGAATTATAGGAGAAGGGGAATATTGCAAAAGTTTTCTTAAATGTGTGTGTGTGTATGTGTGTATCTGTACATGAGAGAACTTTAAAAAGTTCGTGAAAGGGGCCAATAGGTAGTGTAGTAGTTAAGGCGCTGGACTCCCACATGGTTGATTGTGGTTTGAGTCCCAGACCCTGAAGCTTGAAACTCACACTGGACACATGTGCATGCATGCCCAAAATCCCCAGAAGGGAATGAAAGAGAAGAGACTGAAGTGTGACCATTTACCTTGGGTGGGTGGTGATTTCTTGCTTTCTGTCTCCCTGTCTCTCTCTCTTTGGCAAGTGCACACACCTATAGCAAAAATTTCTCTAAAAAAAAAAAAAGTTTATAAAATGAACTTAGAGTATGACTTCATTTTTTATTTTCTAAGATTTTTTCCACAGGGCATATGCACTCTCTGGAGAGAGAGACAGAGAGGGAAAGTGACAAATCACTCCCCAAGAGGGGACGGCCACACCTTTTCCTCCTGGGATTTTGGGTATTCATGCACATATGCTGAGCATGATTTTCAAGCTACCAGGTCTGGGACTTGAACTGCCATCAGCCATGTGGGAGTTCAGCATCTTCACTACCATGCCACCTGCTGGCCCCAATATGATGCAAAAATATTTTGAAATCCTCATAGAGTTTTTCCATAATCCACATTCTCAATTAACTTTTTGAAAGCCTCTTGTATATATAAATATTCCTGAACCTTTGATTTTTTTTTGGGGGGGGGTTCTCCCACAGGTCCTACCTTCCTCTCATTTCCTCTCTTGCCCAGGTAGTTGGCTATCCCCTCCCAGAGCTTCCTACAGCACCTCTTCCCAGCTTGATATTTTAAATCTCCATTTCTTGTAATGGATAAAATATGGCCCTGCTGTCAAACCTGGCTTTGTGTCCCAGTGCCAAGCCCAGTGGCTGGCACATAGCAGGTGCTGAGCAAACACCAAGGGATGTGAACAGGATGTGAATACCAGTTTCAGACCACAAGCTGATGAACAATGAGATGAATAATTAATGTTGCTATTATTATTACGGCAAAGGAGCACCAGATATAACATCTCTCGTCCCAAATGAATTAATTACTGAGTTGGCTGAGAACTTTTGCAAAACTCTATTCCTCTTTGAGAATAAAGTGTGGGTCCAATGTCCCTCCTAGGGTCTAATTTTTATTTATCATGTAAGATATCCGTGGGGTGGGAGGAGGGGTGCAGGAAGAGTGGGAGGGACTGGTGAAGGGTGAGTGGCATCCTTAAGAAAGTTAGCAGAAGACCCATTGACCCTGCACACGGAACTGAGGGCTCTTCTTTCTCAGGTGCAAGCCTGCCTGTGAGCCCGAAGAACCTCCTTCCTGTAAGCACACCCTACAGCTGACTGATGAGGGCAGACCTTTTAATGAAGGTGTTAATAAAAGAAGCTCTAGATCCAGAGGGGCCTGTACTAATTAGGATAATGTCAGTCAGAGACACCCACGCAGACCGCTCTGCGTATTCTCCCCAAGGCTAGGGCACAGGGAGCTGCCAGTTGTTAATGCCCCCAGCGCCCTCTCCTCCCCCCCAAGAGACCTGTTTGTGAAAATCTGCTTCCTACATCATCAGCCCCCTGAAGGATGTGTGTGCCAGCCCTGCCCCAGGTGGGACCTGGGGAGGTGGTGTCTTTAAACCATCCGAGACACCCCCATCCCTGCAGAAAGCATTACAGCTATGTGCATTGCCAAGGAAGACAGAGAGAGTGCAGTACTTGGCAGTCCCAGACTCTCAGCTTTCCTTTGCTGAGCAGTGAAACTTCTGCCGTCCTCCCTTGATTCTCTGTCCTTCATTGTGTAACCTCCCGTGTGGATCAGCACTATCTCGTCTGTATCAGTCAGTGTTCTATAGAACACACATGTCTACATGCATATACATGTATATATATCCTGAAACAAAGCACATGTATTATGTGACTTATGTATAATAATACAATATATGTACAGGTTCAGTATCCTTAATCAGAAAACCTGAAATCCAAAATGCTCCAAAATATGAATATCCTTAAAACTTGAAAGTTTTGGGGTGCCAACATGATGCCACAAGTAGAAAATGCCACAGAAGGCCTCATGTGACAGGTCGCAATCAAAACAGTGTAGCATAAAATGTTCTATAAAATTACCTTCAGGTTATGTAATAAAATGCCTAAGAAACATAAATGAATTTCCTGTTTTGGCTTGGATTCCATTCCCAAGATATTTCATTATGCATATGCAAATAGTCCAAAATTTGAAAAAAATTTTTAAAATATTTGTGGTCCAAGCACTTCAGATTAGGAATACACAACCTAAGACTTTTTTTTTTTTTGGAGGGGTTTTTGCTATAGAGCTATGCATTCACCAGAAAGACGAGAGAGACAGAGAGACAGAAAGTGAGAAATCACCCCCCCCCAGGGGGAATGGCCACACCACAATCCCTTGTCTTCCATTCTCCTCTCAGGATCTTAGGCATGCATGCACACATGCCCAGAGTGAAATTAAGCCACCGAGCCCAGGATTTGAAGCTCAGTTGACCACATGGGAGTCCAGCAATGAAGCCATTATGCCATCTGCTGGTCCCATCAACTTAAGACTTTTGTCAAAGATCTGGCTAATGGGATGGTGGAGACTGGCAAGCATGCTGTAAACCCAAGAAGGAGTTTATACTGTAATCTTGAGGCAGAATTTTTTCTTCTCTGAGAAAACTCAGATTTTTGCTCCTAAAGACTTTCAATTGATTAGATGAGGCCCATCCACATTATAACAGGTAATCTTTGTTATGTAAAGTCAGCTGGTTGCTTATGTTAACCTTGTCTACAAAATACCTCCCTAGGGACACCTCGATTAGTATTTAATTAAATGATGAGTCAACATATAGGATGAACTGCCGGGAGCCGTACCCCCAGCCGGGGTGGGTGCAC